AAGAAAAAAGCACATCTCTAACAAGTAAATGTATATATTGAATAGTATAATGACATTTTACATATATTAATCCATTTAATTCTAACATCTCTTTGAGGAAGGTAGTATTGCTTTCATTTTACAGATGAGGAACCTGAGGCACAGAGAGTTTAAGTATTGATAACTTGCTGATAAGTGGAGGTTCCAGGATCTAGTTGACATTTACTTTATGCTTACACAGTACCACACACTTGCCTAGACTATTATTTTATAAAAAATGCTCCACATAAAATGCCCTTGATTTTTCTGCCTGATTTAATCTTTCTTCCAAAATCAACACAATGAGTTAGAACTGGAGAATCCACTTTATCATATGCCTTTGCACTCTTTCAACCTTATCACAAAAGTGCAGGCTCACTGGATAGTTTGATCTTCCTTGAATGGTCTTCTGAGCTATTTTCCAGATTTCACATGTGGAAACAGAATGTGACTCACTTTCAATGCCCTAAATTAGCCCTGAGGCCCTGGAACTTCCCTTCAGTCTATGCTTTTCAGAATGCCAGTAACCAAGAGATCTGAAAATGAAGGAATTCTTTTCCCAGGAAGCATCCACACACACCCCACCACCACCACCCTACCCCCCAGAAATCTCTTCCTCAGTCTTTACTTAACACCCCTAAGACCCAAAGGACAGAACTTGAGCAGCTAGAGGAAGGATCATTTCTTCCTGCCTCACAGTCTTAAGAATAATGCTTGTAAATTTGTGACTAAGCACTATATAGCAGGGAGGGGAGGAGAGCCAGGAATCCAGAACCTTTGTTTTATTCCCAAGCTCTTCTGCTTAGCTGTGCAATGTTGGGCAAATTCAAATTCTCTGGAGTTCATTTCCTTTAGTTATGCACTTTGCTCAGTTAGACTTGACAAACATTTATCGAACGACTCCTAGGTGCCGTGCACCCTGCCAAGCACTGGGGCTATAGGGATGCATAAGACCTCGTTAGCTACAGAGGACCTCCCAGCCATTAAAGAGCTGTCTTTCCAGAGTGGAAAACTATGGATCTTGGTGTCTGAGGTGGTTAAGCAGAGTGTGGGTAACCTTGTGGTGGAGATGTTGTAGAGACTACACAATGGTCAGCATACTGTTGTGGTTAAGAGCTCCTCTCTGGGGTCAGTCATAACTATAGATATCCTGGCTTTAACCCTCATGAACTTTGTGACTTCAGGCAAGTTACCTAACCTGAAGAATCAGTTTACTCATCTCTAACACAGAGATAATAATTAAACTATATTCGATTTGAGGATCAAATATGATAAATGCATATAAAAGGAGGGTGAAAGTCATGATAAATAAATGTTACCTGTCTTCCTCATTCTCCTCTTCATATTATTATTGTTAATACATCATTTATTGCTCAGCAAGGTGTTGTTGCAGGGTTTGGAGATTTAGAAGTCGTCCATCAGTCTTGCTCAGCTCTAGCTAACTCACTGGAGGATGGTACTTTAGATGGATATTCAGATCTTGTCCCAAGACCTTTCCTGAAGATGTTGACATGTGTTAATGGGATGATTACAGGCCAGTGAAAAGTGAAGTTGACCTTGGAGGAGGTTACTTCTAAATGTTCTGAAGTATGAGGGATGGTGTAATTAAGCATAGAATAAGCAAGGGGATGCATTTTAGATAAAGTGAGGATGTGTTAATACATTCTATTGGGAGGGGTTTAAATAAAGAGTGAAAATCATGCTGAATAAACTTGACTTGATCTAAAAAATTATGGTCCAGAAATTTTATCAGAAGTGAATGATGAATATGACTACAAAGAAACTGTAATTAACTTGTCATGTATTAAAAATGCATGTATTTCAAAAATATAAACTGAGCAAAATATTTGCTATATTTTGTCATGTTTATGACAAAGGGCTAATTTTGTGAGTATACTAAAGAAATCTTACAAATCAGTAAGATGACGAATAACTCAATAGAAAAATGGATAAAGGACTCAGACAAAATATTCAGGAAAAAAGACACAAATCTGGCCAATGCATGTGGGAAGATGTTCAACATCATTCATGATTAGAATATGAAACTTAAGATAACATTCAGCAAAGATTAAAAAGAGATCAGTATAACCAATATTAGTGAGAGTGTGAGGTTAACTAACTGGCATACTCATACACAGTTGGTGTAAGCTAGTATAACTTTTAGGGAGGAGTAATTAATATATCTTTTAATATAAAAAGTGCATATACTCTGACTCACTGCTAAAAGTTATCTTTCAAATATACAAATTCATAATGCACAAAGTTCTATATGCAAGGATGTTCACTAAGAATTATTTGTAATAGCCAAAAAAAATCCATTAGTGAAGAACTGTTTAAACAATGACAGATCCATGCAATGAATAATGAGGTAAGTCTACCTATATCGATAAAAAATGATGTTCATAGTATATTGTTAAATCAGAAAGACAAACTAAAGAACAGTGTGCATAGTATGCTTCTGTTTATATGAAGAATATATAAATAAGGATATATGCGTAGAAATGCCCTAGAAGGAAACACAAGGAACTTTTGTGGTTGTTACCTCTGGGGATATAGGGGAGGAAATGTTTGTCTTTTACTGAATTCCCTGTGTACTGTTTGATCCACCAGCCTGTAGAGATTGTGGTTAAACCATGGGCTGCTGTGGGGATTAAAGGCTGAATTGATTGGCTGAATTCCCATGTTTTCAAAATATGTCAAGGTAAGGAGGATTTTTTAGCTGCAGAGACATGAGAAGACATGCCTTATCATCCAAGTTTGTTGAATGTGAATGTTTCTTGTAGGTGTTTCTTGTTTAGCATATTCCTCAGTGTAACCTCAGAGTTATATTAAGCTAGATCAAGGTTACTTTTTGTAACCCTAGAAGTGGAGTCGTTGATGAAATGATGGGCTCTTGTTGACAGGGAAATAGGACACCAAGATTATCTAATCGTCTCTTTTCTTATGCCTTTTGATCGCCCTTCATTCTAACAGGCTGATACTGAAAACTTTCTCCACAGGCAGGCAGGTTCTCTGGGTGTGCAGGGGGCCATTGGGCATCCCAGCTGGCAAGCTTAATAAGGAAGATTGGTCACTGAATAGAACTGTTTGAGGCATTTTGGGCAGTTCATTAATCCTTGATGATTCTGAAATTGGTTGCACAATTCTGCATAAGGAATACACTGTTTTTCCTTCCTGTGGTTCATTGTGATTGTGGATGGGAGCCTGGTGAGGGGTGTGGCTCCTATAGGACTGCCATGGCAGTAGAATGTCCAATATGCCAACAAAACACATACTGATGGCCAAGGCAGGAAATGTTTATTTGAGACAAGGCCTGGGCACTGGGAGAGGTTTTTCGTTATTTTTCATTAAAGATGAGGATCAGTAATGCTATAGAGATCTAAGTTTTCAGTGTAATCAGGGAACTGAACCCTCTGGTCTCTTTATTAGTTGATGACCTAAGCAGTGAGACACACTGTTACTTTAGGTGGTACCACGTTTTGTAAGGATCCATAATGGCAGGGACAAATCAAAGTACTGAGAACTAAAGGTTCTCTGTGGCGAGGGAGTAACAGTCTGAGTTCATTGCTGATGACATAACGATTTGGCTGTGCCAAATCTTGATCTCAAGCTGTGCTGTTCAATATGGCAGCCACTGGCCACATGTGGCTAAACTTATATACTTTAATATTAAATAAAATTAATAAGATTAAGTGAATTAAATAAAAATTCAGCTCCTCAGTCATCCAAGTCACATTTCAAGTGTTCAACACCAGTATGGTAAGCTAGTGGCGACCGTAAGGGACAACGCACATTCATGGAACAGTTCTATCAGAGTAGAATGTTCTGTTGAGCAGCACTGATCTAGAAAATAAATAGGTCTCCAAAGATATTCAATCAAAAAACACCATTTGGATGCTTGCTTGACCATACCAGGGAGTCTCTGTCTGGTTTTTATTCTGAACCACTAGAGATCTGAAGTAGAAGGGTGGAGGCAGTAGGATTTTAGATTTCGGTGTGAATTGTAAAGTCTCATTTTTTCAGTTAAGATACCTTTTGTTGGCAGATCACTATGGATAATGGTCATAGGCAAGGAGGTAGGAAGATGCGATGCTCTGAGGTTAGGGCTTACCCTGAATGAGGAGTGAGTGACCTGATTGGGCAGAAGGAAGTAGTCAAAGGTACTTTTAATACTTGAACAAAGGGCCAGTACAGCTGTTTAGTTTCTGGAACTTCCTTTGGTTTCTGACCTCCGTACCTTTCTGTATCTGATTATATTGGTAAAAATACGTTAGGCATCCTAAGAAGAACATGAATCTCAGCTTCCCTTTCTGGTTTAAGAGATTCTTAATGACTTCCTCAAAAGGAAAGTACTTCTTTTATTAGTCCTGTTTCATATGCCTCTAAAACTTTAAAAGGATTTAAGGAAAGGGAAATCAAATGAAGGCCAATACTACTTCTCACACTAGTTCAGGGTGTCCCTGGTGGCTTGTAGCGTGGGGCTGTATCTAAATCATTTTCAACAGAGTCTGGTGAGACATTTGGTTGCCCCCTCCCATCCACATCTTTTGAAGTAGACTCATGAACTGAGGAATTGGCAAGGAACGAACACTGTTTGAGGTCTTCATCTTTAGGGGCTAGGAGACAGGATGTCAAAGAAAATCAGAGGGTAAGGTAAGGTGTCTCTCATGGAAGTTAGGAAGTAGGTCAAGAGAGAGATGTTAAAAAGAAAGTCACTATTCAAAGAACAGCTAGGATTAAGAACAGAGAAACTGCTAGACAGGGCCAAGAGTTTTCTCTAGTAACTGTAACAGGAGCAGTTTTCATGAACTGATGAAAGAATAGGAGAGTGGCTACGGGGAACAAAGAGGGAATTTCCAAGGCAGCAATAAATACATGAGCACTGGACCTTATTTATTTAGTCTTGGATACTTCATCATCCTCTCATTCAAGTAAAAGCTCTAGCATGCAATAAATACTTGTTGAATGAATCCTCAGGAAAGTCACACTGAATGCATAAATTCCTTTATTGAAAATATTGGGCTAGCACTGCATTACATATATTCAGTATCCATAAATGAAGGGCCACACATTTCTGATTGGACAATACTGTTTTAAATAGAGAACACAGCATCTGAATATGCTCTCACAAGTATAATATCATGGACTAAACTAGGTAGGAGTGAACTATATGCAAAATGACCATTTCGTTAATAGCATATGGTTGCAAATGGCATAAATGGTAAACGTGATCATTATGAGACATTCCTGGTATCTCATACCAACACATAATTTAACAAGCAGATTAAGGTTAAACTGCCAATAAGTTGTTAATCAAGAGTTCTCAATAGAACTTGGGTGAAAGTGCACCCAGGCTATAGACTTAAGATTTTATAGCGTTCATTTAAACTTGCATGGAAATGTGGGTGGAGTAAAATAACTGTTGATCTGACAGGAGGCCACTTGGCAATTTGTTTGTTCTCTTTTATAAATAGTCTAAAATAAGAGAATAAGCTAAAGGAAATATTCTGCCAGCTTAAGGCCAACATTCTAAGAACTGTTTACTTCTTTAAAATGCAGGTATATAAACACTACTTTTTATTAATTTTTCCTTCAAAGATCACTGGGTATGTAACTTATGACAGACCACTTTCTCAGCTTTGGCTATCATTTGACATTTTTTTCCATTAGCAGTCTTTGGCTTTCATAAAGGTCTGACAGTCAATAATATTTGTTAAAATTTTAACAAGTCTTTATTATTAACTTTAATAAAAGAGTGTTTTATGATGTGAAAGTGAGTTGATATTAAAAAACAAGTGTTTACTTTTTATTCGAATTTTGGTATGAATGCATTTCTTTGCATTGATTTTTCTCAAATAAAAGAGTCTAGAAATCAAGACAATTGGGATAATTTGACCTTTTTTTCATTTGATATAAAATATACAGAAATTAAAACAGTCTCATTTCAAACAGAGGCCTGTTCATTAATGTAAAAACTTGGGGAAAATTATGCAAAAAAATCCAATAAAAATACAATTTTTGTTATTAACACGTGATTTTATAAGAAGCAAAACATTTTCTTTTCAAAAGCAGGGTTTGTTCTAAATCTAGGCTCATAAAGGTATACATTTCTGTAAATATCAACTTATGACTGAGAGAAATAGCTTATTTTTCTTTTACACAGTTATGTTCAGAGTAAATAACTAAAAATGTACCTTTTTAATGACTAAATGGAAAGCTGGCCTACAACAGTCAAATCAATAAACATTGGTATTGAGTTTTAAAAAATTCAGAATTATGTGTATATATATATGTGTGTATACATATATATATTTGGACATTAAGCAGCACATACATATACATATCACCCTAAACAATCAGGGCAAAAAAAATTTAATATAAAACTATATAAATCAAATGGGTTTGTTGCCAAAACATAGCACAAAATGTATACATTCCTTTATTTCAAAATTTGACACATTAAAAGAAAAAACTGCCAACACATTTCAGACAATATACTAGAAATAATAAATAAAACAGTTTTTAAAAATCATATATTCCCTTTAAGTGCTGTGCACTTTGAATTTTTCTAAATGAGACTAAACTTTTCCATGGCTAACAACAGTATGCTGTACATTTTGGTAATGAAAATTATATTGATAAATATACAAGGAATGTATATATTTCCACAGTATTTTCTTTTTCACAGTTAACAAAAATAAAAATTGCATTCAACTCACATCTATAAATATTCTGATTCCTCACTGTATGGATTTGAAGGAAGTGAGAGTATAAAGTCTTTCAACAATCTGGACTTCAGATTTCTTTCTTCATCGTCTGCCTTCCACATGTACCTTTCAGAATCTCTCTGCAATGTGATCACACGCTGAGATGAAGGCAGAAAGAAAGCACTATGATGGGATGAGGCAGTCTGGGCTGGGGCTTGCTCTTCCAGCCAGCTTTAGCAGGGCTGATTGAACCCAGTCTTTTTAATGTCGTATTTTAAGGCAGTCTGAATTTCACTCGAATGTCCATACCTCGAGATCCTGAACTATGAAGTCTTCCTTTTTGGAAAGAATATCATTATTAAAAGTGCTGCAGGAGTTGCTTCGTCCATGGTATAAATCAGCATCTAGCCATAAACCAAATCGTCCCCTGAAAAGGTTAATAAAATGGTGAAAACATTTCAATTTTATGTGCACACTTTCTGTCCTCCCTTGCCCCAACTTCTTTCTTTTATGCTGTAGACAGACAAAACCCTAAACTGCTTGTAAAACAAAAGGTACATTTCCTTTATTTCATTTAAATGACCCATCTTTCCTAAAAGACGGGTGGCAGTAGTCCCTCATTTAGACACATAAATAAGTCATTTTATCTTCAATTCTTAGTGTCATGTGTTAGACCACACTGTCCTAAATAATCGAAGCACATGGACTAGCTAAAATCACCTGACACCAAAGTTTCAGTTACCTGGGTCAAAACAGGCTCACTCAGGTCAGGTGGTAATTAATAATAACAACAAAAACCTTACCCTCCACCACCAAGTTCCAAAGAACTTATGTCTCCATTGATAAAGTATGAGTTTTCTCCACTCCACTTAAAGACCTTAGGACAGAAACACAAGACAGAGAACAGACATTTCAATCTGGAGAATTCACGAAGAGGGAGTAAGAGCATAGTACCTCTGTGTGTGCAAGGGCACTACCCATTGGCTGAGGAAGCTCCTGACGGCCAGACCTCTCCCACACCAGGATGATATCTCCAAAGGGGTTATGAGGTAGGAAAGACCTCTCAGACACATGTTGGCTCTGACTTGCAACCCCTCCCTGATCTTAGACCATGCAAAAGAGCAGTTCCCAAGGCCTGGGGAGGGAATCTAAGCGGTTTCTGTGCTGCAGTCATGAAGTGCTGGCCAGGCTAGAGTGAGGCCTGATGAGGTTACCTCGAGTAACGGGATGGGACAGCTGCTGCTCCAACCACAGCCCCCCATCTCCAACCCCACCGACCCTCCTGACACCGTGACACCAGGAAGTTGGGTATTTCTTTCATCTAGGTACCTTGAAGTTAGGGCTAAACGTGTAGAGAAAAGTTTCGCCTGTGCCATAATAGTGATCACTGAACTTGAAAGGATGAGTTGCATATGCTCCAAAAATCTGTCAAAAGAAAACAGAAACCTTATCTACTTTCAACCATAAACCTCCCAAAAAAAAGACTTTCTGAAATATTTTAGCACAATCCTATTCTGAGATCTCATTCAGCAAAGATCATTACTAAATCAGAGCTCCTAAATAAAAAAGACCACCATCCAACAAATAAAATGTCCCCAGTTCTCATTAGAACCCAAGTGGCTTAGAGAACTTATCTGTCAAAGGCCAACAATTGCTCCAGTTTTAAAAGACTTCCGAAGTCCACTATAGAGACAAATTTCTTTTAGTGAATACAGAGGACATACTGGAAACATTAAATAACAAGATTCATCTTGCACACAGAAATGAGTGGTTGAGAGAATGAAGGCATATCTCTGATGTGTTTTCTAAGTAAAATTGTGGCCAGAGGTTTCCCTGGAGAAAATAAATTTTTCTCTCCTTTGATTCGAAAAATGAGTTTTCAACATACTTATTAAAACTGCATAATAACGTGACTGATCCAGTATATCTTAGTTCAAAATGGCTTTTAAGAAAAAAGTAACAATTCCATAATACTGTGGGCTTTAAAGGTGGTTTAGATGTATCTGAATCAATGATTTTTCTATTATTTCTTATTGGGGTTGGAAGGAGTAGTCTTTTCAGAACACGCATGTCCACTGCTTCAGCTTCCTATCCTCTGCTCAGATCCTGACCAGTGCGTGCAGGAGTGAGGACTGGCAAGAATATATATTCTGGAAATGTCCCTAGGTGATTCTGATATATTTTCTCCAAATCCCACTTGAGAAACAATGCTTTTTTTTTTTTAATATTTATTTATTTGGTTGTGCTGGGTCTTAGTTGTGGCATGCGGGCTCCTTAGTTGCAGCTCGCTGGCTCCTTAGTTTTGGCATGTGAACTCTTAGTTGTGGCATGCATGTGGGATTTAGTTCCCTGAACAGGGATCAAACCCGGGCCCCTGGCATTGGGAGCGTGGAGTCTTAACCACTGCACCACCAGGGAAGTCCCAAGAAACAATGCTTTAAATGGAGTCTACCTGAAAAATGTCTTATAAGTTTTCAAACTAATTTAAATTGGATTATCATCATCATGGAATCTCTTCTTCACCAAGTACACTCAGTTCCTAGCTCCTTGAAATACTAAAAATTAGGTAGAGTAGAAGTCTAGAATCTCTTTCTAACCCATGTTCTTCATACCAAAGCCTGTCCCTAGAGCTGTTAAGAACAAGGAAAAAACAGTAACAAATTTTCTTAGCAATCATGGAAATCTGTTTAAGCACTGGAGGTATGATGATACTAAGAAATTACTGTTAATTTTTTAGGTATATAGCATTATGGTTATGTAAGAAAATGTCCATTTTATTTTTTTCTATTAATTAACTTAGAAAGAAATTGTAGAATAATGGTATTGTTGGGTCTATACCATCGAAAATTTTAACATGTTTGACAGTAACAGAACAAAGGAATCCAGGGGAATGAATGAAGATAGCCCAAAGTGGTAAAAGGAAGGTTAATATGACAAAACCCATAAATGTATAATTGCTCTCCTTTCTTCTCTCAGCTTTCTTAGTAGATAAAAATTATACAAACAGCTATGTAACAGTTTATTGTTGAGTTTGTAATATATATCAACGTAATATAACAAAATTACCACAAAAAGTGGAAAGATGTCATAGAGCAATATAGGAGTAACATTTCTATATTTCACTGGAATTAAGTTAATATAGATCGGACTCTATTACCTGGTGATTGTTCTATTATTTTCCACAATGCTTTGTGGTGTAAATTACTCCACGGTCTCATTCAATTAAATTTGGGCCCCTTTGCAGGGGTAGTTTCTGTGGCCAGTCTATGAAGTTTATCCTGACTCCAGGAAGGCTCTCCTTAGCTGTCTCTTTCCCCGGTTCTCTCTGGTAAACTAGATGGTCTACGGCTTAGTTTCCTGCCTTCATGGAACTACCAGCCTCCTCTTAGTTGTTTACCACCAAAATTTTCATTGTTCTCTAGAGTGTCCCTTGGCTTGACCTTCCCCATGTTCTTCTAAATAACGTCAGTTCCTTTGGAGAGAGCTTCTGAGCTATATGTTTTATGGTCCGCCTCTTCCCCTGGAGCTGGGGGCTGGACAGTGGCCTGCTTTTCTCAAAGGTACAATCCTGTTTTATGAGCAGGGTGCTGGGCAGGGGCAGTAGCCACTGGTCTTGGCTCTGCTCACCTGACATGGAACTTCTGCCCTATGTGCTGGAGCAAGGGCAGCAGAGACCCCTGTATTCTCAGCCTGCCATGCAGAAGGTAGAGCAACTGTCCTCTGAGAAGGGGCTGGTCAGAGGAAGAAAGCCCTGAAATTTAGCCTCTGAAACAGAGATCTTGGGTAGGGGATAAGACATGCTGGGGACCTGCCCCTAGAGGAGGCATATCATAGTCTTTGCCTGGGAGCTGGCAGCTGAGGGATCCTCATCTTGTCCACACGTGCCCAGAAGGAAGCTTCTGTCTGAACAGGGGTTGGGGGAGGGAGCAGGCTGTGCCTTCAAATGCCACAGAATCTCACTATTATTACTGGGCTTCATTAGATTTTCTTAAATAAATGGTTCTTCACTTGCTGTATGCCCTTAGGGCAATTTCCAGAGATTGTTGTTGTTTTTAAATGATTGTTGTTTTTATAATTCCCACCAGTAATGATTGTTTCACTGGGGATTGATTCTGAAGAACTCCTCATGCCTGCCATTCTGCATGCGTAATGCTTTTATCTTAGAATTTTATATAATTCATTTCCAGATAAACTTACGGGTGTTGTTCTATCATGTTCCCAAACACAGCAAGCCGCATCCTTGCCTTGGGGGTAGGTGGGGTGGGGAAAGCAGAGTTATGCCTTCAAATAACACAAATGCCTCCAGGGCACCAGATCCAGTAAGATTATACCTCTAGACAAACAGTGTAATCTTCAGGTATAGGCAGGCCTCCTTTACATATCTGCTGATAGGAAGCTGAGTACTACTGTGCATCATCAAAACCTGCTCTGGGAGGCTAACAAGTTATTCCCCAACAAGTTATCTTTTGGTAAATTAATAGAACTAATCTATACTTACGGTGCAGGTACGTGTGTGTGTGTGTGTGTGTGTGTGTGTGTGTGTGGTCTAAAACCATCTAGCCCTATCTCATCTAAAAAGTAGCACCTAACTTTGCAAACATTTCACTAAATCCCTAAGTAATTCCATTTTAAACCTTTGTTATTATTATTTAAATTTTTAACTTGACTGTCCCTACTGTTCAGCTTGGACTATGATTAAATAAAGTGTTCTCAATCAGTAAATAACAGTAGGAACAATGATAGTAACTAAACTATTCCTCACAACTCTTAATCTACTTACAGGAATGATCACCGTTGAGAAAGACAGTGCCCTTCTTTCTGCTAATTTTTCCCAAGACAAATTATGACAGCAAAAATCTATTTCCCCTAAAATGATCCCAATTATATGGCTTCTCAGTAAGCTCCCCAATGCTTAATAGTGCCCCACATCTAACAGACAGTCATTATACATTTTCTGAATGGATGAATAAATAAATGGTTGTCAAGTAAACCCTGCTTCCAAATGCCAGGAAGAGAAAATAATGACACCTACAAAAAGTGTAAAGAAATTTCTTCTTGCTATAATATAGACCAAGTCGAAATGAATAAAGAGCAGACTTGAAAGATGCTTTCCTTTTGTGAAGCAGAAGTCTGCCTGGATGGTACATGAAAGAAACCTGGACAGATTCCACTCATACTCCAGGCTGACCAAGTGAAGAATTATTAGCTTAGGGGAGATGGGGGTAATATCTAGATTTCACCAGTGCCTCCAAGACCGACAGCAACGTGGGTGAAAGTGCACTAAGCAATGGTCCAGAGCATTTTCTCCTGTTTCGTAACAACTGGGCCCTTCAGGTACAACACACCATGGCCTTAACTGGCTCTCCATCTCAGCAACTATGCAGGCAAGGTTGGTGGGCACTACTTCAGCTACCTGGAAGAAGTTCTGGTATGGCACTGAACTGCTTTCTGCAACTATCTCCAAATCTAGACTTGACTTTTCTTCCAGCTTCTCCATTTTAGGTTACAGAATATCATTATAGTATATATATATTATAGTTTATATATTATATATATATTATATATATAATATATATATATATATATATATATATATATATATACTCCATGATGAGTACAGGAAAAAAATTCCTTAGAATGTGACTGTATTTGGAGATACACTCCATTTTCTTTTTTAGAGATGCATTCTGAAGTATGTAGAGGTGAAATGACATAATAATTGGGATTTACTTCAAAATACTTCAGGGAAGAAAAGCCAACAAAGGAAAGAATGAAGTGTATGTGGCAAAGTCCTGCTAACTGTAGAATCTGAGTGATGAGAGGTCATTGTGTTAGTCTCTCTACTGTTGTGTAGGTTTGAAAAGCTTCATTAAAAAAAATGTTCCTTGGGCTTCCCTGGTGGCGCAGTGGTTGAGAGTCCGCCTGCCGATGCAGGGGACACGGGCTCGTGCCCCGGTCCGGGAAGATCCCACATGCCGCGGAGCGTCTGGGCCCGTGGGCCATGGCCGCTGAGCCTGCGCGTCCAGAGCCTGTGCTCCACAACAGGAGAGGCCACAACAGTGAGAGGCCCGTGTACCGCAAAAAAAAAAAAAAAAAAAAAAAAAAAATGTTCCTCTATAAGAGGAACAAACCTCACCTGATTATCCATATCTTTGATGACCAATAGGACAGGACTGTCTAGTGATGCTGACTTCCGGTAGAGAGTTTTCAAGCTGGTCCCATGCTCTAATGTGCTGTACACGAGACTCCATGGATACCCCTGTACCCTTGCTGGAAGGCGTCGGGCCAGCTGTGAATCCAAAGATGAAGATGTAAATACACAGTTTGCCTACAAATCACTCATGAATTTGTAGCACAAAACCGATGCCTGTGACTCAAACTCGATAATTACACTACTTCCATATTGCTCCCCTATACTCTAGCAAATATTTGCCACTATAAACCAAGAAGGGAAAATCATCCCTTGGCAGGGATGCTCCCCAGAGCATGCATTCCCTCTCAGGGATGATCCTGAAGGGTCACTATGCCACTATATATTTGAAGATACAGCACCTAGCTTGATAAAGAGGTATGAATTAGACACATGCTCTCTTGTTTACACTTCAACCTGACTTTCACCAAGCAGTTCATGTTTCTCGAATTGTTCTTTCTAAACCTTCAAAGGCTCAGAGCTGCTACTGACAGCTGTAAATTCCCACCAAAGTGAGAACAAGAAGACACGGGTGTTTTATGCTAGTAATCAGATGTAGTCTGTCCTCATTACACTTGTATCTTTCACTTACATTAATATTTAACTTAAACTTGGCTGCCATAAATATCAATAATGCATATCTCTTCAAAAATACACACAAAGGAGGCTATATAAAATGTTGAAGTCCTCAAGAATGCTTGACATAGTTCTAGAATCAGCATGAACTCCATCCCTGTAACTGCTTGGTCAAGTCGCCTAGCTTTCCTGGGCCTTCAGAGATGGCATTTGTAAATTGAGGGACTTAAACTTGATGATTCTTTAAGGTCTCTGAAATTCAGGTTTCTAAGCTGACTGATGGGGGAAGCACAAGAGGTCCCTTACTAAAGTTCAAATACAAGCACGTAGTATTTCATAAAAACTCACGTAAGAGATGTTCAGAAAATAGAAAGTAAACAAAAAAAAGTACAGAAAAAGGAAAATTACTCCTAGTAGTGGTAGGTGGTTTTCGTAAAGCAAATAAAGTGTACTTGCTATATGACTTTTACTGAGCTCAATAAATTGAAACCATCGGAACTCTAAGATAATCATTAGGATAATGATTAAAATACATTAGGACTACAGTAGGACACTTTAAAAATTGTTTTGAAGACAAGAAATGGCTTTTTGTTCAGGTTTGGGGAATGGACGTAGGTGTCTGGCCAAGTCCTTGCACTCCCAAGAAGGTGGCAGGGATGCTGCCTTTCAGAAGCAGAGAAGGGCCCTGGTTAGGCTGCTGGTGTTTCTTCCTTTAAAGCTCGGCTCATGCTTCACCCCAAGTGAGAAGAGCAAATGCCAGGGGTGGGAAATGTGTTCTAAGGTTTGGAAGACACCCATCCTAAGTTCCCAGGAAGAACCCACCTGCTCGATGTGCATGTTCTCCAGAAGCGCACTGTGGGGCTGCAGGATCGGCAGGGCGGCCTCATCCTCATCTTCATAGTAGCTACATGTGCTCTTCCTGCGTTTTGCCTCCTCTACGGTGATGATCTGAAATGGAGAAGACAAATAAACCAAGAAAAACGATATTTTTGCTTTTCCTTCACCTGCTATAAAGGACCTCAGGTACACAATTGCCTGTAACAGGTAGGGTTTTAGCAGCAGGACATAAGTTGAGCCAGCACTTTGGGGGAAATGGCTAATCACAATGTCAATTTCAGAGCAAATGGAGAATTAACACAGTACAGCTATAGCACTTAATATGTACAAATTAAAGTCACAAGTTTTCCAGTTTTACTATTGCTCAGTCATCAAGTAAGAATTATGTATAACTCCACAAGCGACTTATACCCTTGAGATGCCCTAAATTATTCTCCATTAGCCTGCATCTAAATTTGAATTGTTAAGGGACTAACAGATATCATACTATGAGCAAGTCTTCTATACATAGGGAAATGGGGAAGATAAGGATAGTCCTTTAATCAAGAATCCTAACGTCTTCTCTCAAGGCTGATCATGGCAACCAACCCTGACAGAAATAGCAAATGATAACATCTACGGAAAGCAACAATACAAAGAGACACGAAGCTTTAGTCTAAATTACAATTAGGTATGATTCTTTATGGAGAGTTGAGAAACCATCAAAATAATCTTTCCTTCAAAGCTGAGAACAGAAACATGATGTTGTACACAACGTTTATTATTTCATCATAAATATAAACTACCAGGTTAAAAATCATTTTTCTTTTGCCTCTCCGAAAGTCTGGATAAATCACTAAATTATTTTGTAATTGAAGGATACAGACAGAAGGTAACTAATTCACCAAAATTCCTGAGTACAAATATTAATGACTTTTGCATCATAGAGAAAAAACGTTTACATTACATTGAGTGAAGGTTGTCAGGCAATGACTACTTAGTTTCCAAAATGCTGTCATCTGAGCCGGATTTACAGGTAAGGAAATTAGCCCTTAAATTTTACCGTCTTCTCAAGGGGCAGTTACTTAAAGAAAACACTGTTGAAGAATCACAAATCCAGCATTTTAAATGTATTAAATAAAGCATATATTTGGGGGGAACTCTACATTTAACACAGGTACAAAGTGGAGCTGTGGAATGAAAAAATCAGTATGGAGTTTTGACTCCAAAGGGAAAGGGCAAACCACACCACCTCTCTCTCCAAAGTGAATAAAATACCTGCTCTGGCTGAAATATCAGCACGATCCTTTCTAATTAGAAAGCATTTCAAAGCATCTTATCCGCAGAGCTTGGAGGATTCACGGACACATGATTAGCCCTCAGGACTCCAACATACCTTCACAAAAGGCTCTTGGTCCGGTCTGGCACAATAGAAAATCTGAATGTCCAGAGGCAATCTTCTCATCGTGAAGTAGTGTGAACTGCCTGCTTGCTCTCTAAAGAGGTGCAGGTTTTTTCTCTTATCTGCCTCCACACCACTGTTACTTACAGCCACACTGAGCTACAACTGTTTATGCAGTATCTAGTTTCCTGCATGATTGAGTTTCTGTTTCCCTTAGGAGAGAGTTCAGTATTTCTACAGGAACACACCCAAATTAGGATTTAGAGCAAGCACACACTTCCTGTTAGGCATAGCTGCCAGGCTGTAAAAAGACACTTTCACCTTTGAAAGGGTGGTTTCCTAACAGCACAACAAAACCTCATTGTTGTTTTTTTTCTTCTTCTCTGTCTTGTACTTTTCTTCCCGATTGTCCTCCAGCTGGCTGAGCTAGCTTTTCTAGCCCTGCCTTTTCAGATTTTTTTTTTCTGCATCCTAAAGCGAAACCTTCATTTTAAAAGTTTATGTGTGTTCCCTGACATCAGTTTGAATCTCAAAGGAAATATGAAAAGGAGCCTTTACCAGAAGTAGGTTCATTACGCTTAGAACAATGGCGTTTCACTTCAAAACCGTCATGTTTGTTAGGTATGAGAAACTTCAAAGAACTGAAAAAACATCCGGTTCATATGAGGCTGAGAAAAATGTTAGTTTAGATTCAGGTTTTCTAAAGAGCTGGCAAAGTAATATTTACCTTTCAACCTTTCAAAATATTAATCTTAATGACTAATAAGCATGATGAGTCCTCCTCTACTGCCCAGACCAGATATCAGCGGGTTGGAAAGAAATGTAGATTACCATTGGATCAATTTTCAGGGATCTGTGAGTTTTCCAGATCGAAAATGGCCTCTTGGTCTCCGGTACCCCTGGGAGATCGGGCGCCACTACATAGTTCATCCCGGGGGTCAGTTCTAATGAGGCTCTGGGAGATAACTGGTGACCAGTCTCAGGTCAGCCAGAACTTATTCTCAATGCAAGAGCCTAGACACAATCTAGGGCAGAATCACTTGGATTTTGTACCAGTGAGACAGCATTCTTTTCAGTGCCTGACACTTCATGACAGCTAACACTTACTGAGTGCTTTCTATATGATGGCAAGTGCCAGGTGCTTTGCCAGGCATGTGGCACAAACAATTCCAGTATATCATTTATCAGCTTTTCAAATTAGCGAAAGTTTTAAGAAAGGGATAATAGAAATAGTACTTTCTGTTGCCAGAAGCACAATGAGAAGAAGGGTATTCCTCACATTTCTGGAAAATTGTCATTATATAAAAGATTAGGAGCCTTAAAAAAATCAATAGCCTTATACTAAGTAATATCACTTTCAGGAAATTAGGGGAACAGTCAGAGTTACAGATCATCTCATCCTTATGAAAACCTTGAACCAACACGATTCCTAAAAGTGGGGAATTGTTAAATAAATTCTGATTGAGGTTTAAAATATTATGTAACCATTAAAATGAGGCTTCAAAATCTTTAATATGATACAGTTCTCACAAGATGTCAGGTGAGAAAAGCCAGATACCAAGCTATACATAGAACATTATCCCATTTTGCAAAAATACTCTCTCACCCTTACTGCCTAGAAAACACCCTAAAATAGAAAAAAATGAGCCAAAAAAATGTACAAAAGTAATGTGTGGTTAGATACTATTTTCTAAATGTTCTGCATTGTGCTTTTCTGTAGTTTCCAAATTTCCTATAATAAAAGCAGGTGTTACTTTTATAAAATTAGGAAGTAAAGCTTATTTAAAGAGCTTGGGTATGGAGGATGGACTAGTGGTTGGGTTGACTGGAGTTGCCCTAGAGTTTAAGTGAAGGGTGCAGACAGCTGACTAGGGCAGTGGTCCCCACCCTACGTAAGATCAGAATCAACAAATTCTAACTAGAGATGACTGACTACATATGATGATGAAAGAGAAGAATCTGGGTTGATATCTAGGCTTCTAGCTTGGGGCACCACTAATTAAGATGGGAATACATGAGAAGAAGCAAGTTTTGGGGAAAGATGAAGAGACGTTTTGGACATGCTGAGGATCAGACACCTGTCAGGGGAGTGAAGGTTCCTCTTCTCCACCCACAGAGGAGAAGCAATGCCACCACGAAGCAGTGCTATCACAGTGGCCTGGCCTTAAGGTAATGCTAGTAAGCAGAATTTGCTCCTGCGTGGGAGGGAGCTTGGACAGCATTCTTCTCGTCATTGTACTTTTGGACTTTCTCTTCCATGTGGCAAGAAATAGGGATAGGGGCTTCCCTGGTGGTGCAGTGGTTGAGAATCTGCCTGCTAATGCAGGGGACACGGGTTCGAGCCCTGGTCTGGGAGGATCCCACGTGCCACAGAGCAACTAGGCCCGTGAGCCACAACTACTGAGCCTGCGCGTCTGGAGCCTGTGCTCCGCAACAAGAGAGGCCAC